AATAAATCAGTCATAACCTCAATATCTACATATTAATTCTACTCTACTAGGGTGATCACTTCATTCTAAAACCTTATATTGTTTTTCGCCTTATAAGATAAGTTAGGTTGTGATGTGTCTATATTAATATACATTGATGACAATGTATAGTTATTTTACACCGTCAGGTTATCTGGACCAACATCTATAGGTAAGAAACTGTTAAATTATATTTCCCCCCCAATTTCAGTTCCTTGAGTTTAATTTATAGAAAATCTGATTCACATTATATTGCGCGATTTTTGGTTAACAGGAATCCCAGAAGCTTGCACTAGCTGAATCAACGGGATTGGACCAGAAGCAAATAAACAACTGGTTTATCAACCAAAGAAAGAGGCATTGGAAACCATCAGAAGATATGCAATTTGTTGTGATGGATGCTGCTCATCCACATTACTATATGGATAATGTTCTTGCTAACCATTTCCCAATGGATATGACACCGTCTCTACTCTGAATTTATATTCTGGAGTTATCCCAATTTCAACTTCTCAAAATGAATTTTTAAGATTCTGTAATATTATTATCAAGGATGTTTAATTTGCATATTACTTTGTATGCATGTAATAGTAGAAGTTATTGTGACCTTTTTATTAGACCATAAGTGCTTGTAATAGCTAGAGGTGTTTCTATTATCATGGTTATCTCTTATAAAATTTATTAGTTTGTACGTAATTTTATCTTTGGGAGAAAGCTGCTTGCGTCCAAAAGCCATGATTCACTTACATGGCATTTACTTATTTGTTGGTTTGAAATAATTAATTGAGAAGATTCAGTTTTTTTTGAAGTAGAAAAATTCTGTCTTCTAAACATTTTTATGTTGTAAAATTATAGTTCACATTTAAATACATAGAAACTATTTATATCGTTGGTAAGATCAAGCAATTCGTTTATTCTTGAAATCCTGATAATGCACTTTTCTTTCATCGCTGTGATTCGATTTGAGCTAATAAGTCATGACTAATCTTGAGACAATAGTAAGAATTTTGATCAAAATAATGGGGCGACGTGCACAAAAATCCCCATTGGGGATGAAGTTTATTATATTGTGTTAGCCATAGTCCAAACATGAGGCTTTCTTTGCCTGAAGTTTGGTATGGTTTGCCGAGGTCAATTTAAGATATTTCTTACTAAAATTGTAGACTTTACAAGCTAAATTGTGGATATATTTTTACTGAAATTTTATCAAGGCAAAATTCATATGTTTTTTCTTCAAGTGCATGTAAAATTTGAAATTTCAATCACAAAAATAAAATACCCAATGTTATTTTACAAGTCAGAACTTTATATACCTTACATAAATGCACGTAAGAATTAGTTAAAATTTTAGTCATACGTATCTGAATTTTCTTTTGCCAATAAAAATATACACTTAATAAACCCAAATTTAAAATATATGTTTAGTGTATTATAAAGAATAAATTTCAATCATACATTTATATATAAAAAAAAAACAATTATCTAACAAATTCATTTTACAATAATTAATGACCCAACCCAATAGTAATGTGATGAAACTAAGAAAAGCCCGACCCACATCTGAAAATGAAGCCCATATTGGGAGCCTTCGTCAGAACTGGGCCTAAGTTACGAATTCTAACTCTGCCATTGGGTAGGGGTTTGAATTTACTTATTTATTGATTTCAATCTCAATTAAAATTGGATCGCACATTCCCACGGTTACTTCTCATTACATTTTTGCTTTTTCTTCTTTCCAGAAGAATAAAAGGAGGAATATGCAATGGATTCCATTACTTTATTAGATAAATAAATTAATGGATGAGTGAAAATCAATTGCAGGGTATGTAGCCTTTTTTGGGGTAGTTGACTTTAGGCCAATCATAATTTAATCTCACACCGTGGTCGTTATCATGAAAAGTGACTGATCATATAGAAATAATCAAAGGTGTAATAACGTACATTATTTTATTTTTATAATAATAAGTTACAAATACAAAGCAGTAGAGCAACCATATTTTGGATTTTGAATTATCCGGTATTAGAAACTTATTAATCTTACTCCTATCTTTTTCAAAAAAATTCTTATTTTTTTAGTTAGTCTCGAAAATTAATGTTACTGAGTTTCTATGTTTAATAACTATTTAATTTTAATATCTCATATGACATGTTGAAAAACATAAATTTTTACAGACATATTAGTATATTATGTATATCTTAAAGTTAAGATTATAATTTTTATTTTTCTACGACTCGTTTCAATCAAACTAAAACATATATAATAAAGATGAAAGAAGTAATAAAAATAAATGAACTTAAAGAGGTTGTTTGATTTAACATATAAAGCAAATAATTAATAAGTTTCAACATAATAAAACATTGTGCGGTTGCATAACATCCTAGAATGAATTTCAACACACATAATAAATTGTTTTGTTGCATTTTACTTCTTCTATATAAAAATAAAAAATAAAATGCAAGTATAAATTATACCAGAGATTAAATTTGAGATGTTTAATTTTAATCAAATGTTTGGTTCTTATTTCAAAAGAACTAAGCTCTATATTATTATTCTTATTTATTTTTATTTATTTATATATATATATATATATATCAATAATTTTTTGCAGAAAATTCTAAAAAATGAGTAATAAATTAATAAAAAATATGAAAAAAATATAAAATTAATACCAAAAAGTTACCAATAAATGTAGTAACCTTAAATCCAACAATTGAGTAAATTTTGGTTTTTAAAATGTGATGTAAAATATTTAAACCGTAAAAATATATATATATTTTTAAAATGAATAAAATTCAGAAAAATAGGGAAATACTATAAAACACTTCTCAGTAAGTGAAACAAATGATATAGTACATAATTGTACAAATATAAGATATTTCAATATTGTATGAACCGTAAAAGTAGTGAAAGTTGGTACGAATGAACCACGTGAGGTGGAAATGTTGAAAATAGATGATGGCAAATAGATGGATATCCCCAAATATATGACGTTATTATGCATGAAGGGTATTTCACGTTCTTTTGATTTTTGTACGGCATAGGCATCCGCATGTTGTCGACTAGACCTTGGCCAATTTCGCCGCGGCCGACGTCGTTGTCTAATGCATGGAGGCTACATATGATGCAGACAGGCTACGTTCGACGTCGGTTAACCAATTCGGGCAGGCCACATCGGCTGACCGATAGGTAGGGGCCACAAACGATGTCGTATGGTCTCGCTGATCTCAGCTGACCAATGCGCATAGGCCATAGACGATGTCATATGTCCTCGATCTATGTCGGTTGGCCGATGTGCACATGCCACCACCGATGTCGCCTGGCCGATGCATGCATATTACAACCGATGCGTACAGGCCATGTCCGATGCCGTCTGTTGTTGGCCGATGTCGCCTATCCGGTGCACGCAGGCCTTGACTGATGTCGCCTGGACTCGGCCAACTGATATGTGCACGCCACGACCGATGTCCCTTGGACGATACTCGCAGGGAACGTACGATGTCGCCGGTCCAATGCACGCAGGCCTTGGCTGATGCCGCCTGGCCTCGGCTAGCCGATGTGTGCAGGCCACGACCGATGTCGCCTGACCGATGCGCGTAGTCCTTGGCTGATGCCGTCTGGCCTCAAACATGGGACGCCTGTGCTACCTATGTAGACCCATATGCCCCTTGACATCTAACTTGGCTTTAGGATCGCACCCAACATTCCAAAAAATCTCTGATAGCGACATCATTATTGGTCCCTTGACATGTCATTAGGCATAAGAAATGAACTCGACGTCTTGGAAAACCTCGCAATGGGACATCATTATTGAACAACTTATTGATCGGCATAAAACATATAGTTCAACAATTATACTACATTTACTAATTTTACCTATTTCGTCTTCGAATCTAACAATCCTAAATTTGTTGGAAATTTATCTTCGAGCATATCGACTCTAAATTTGTCCAACCAAACAAGCGTTAGTGTTAGCGTAACGTCCGTGGAATACGTGGCATTAGTTTGAAAATACTTTTTTAAAGTGGCGAATCGGCTTCTCCCAAACAACACGTTATATACATCTTTAGCTAGCCTTACCTCGCCGCGTCCGCCCCAAAAAAATAAATTAAAAATCCTAGGGTTTATAAAGAAGAACCCTTCATATTTCAGAGAAATCAAATCAATGTCAAGAATCATCCATGAAAATGCACCTGAATTTTCTTCTTCCCTTTTGAATGCACAATCTTTCTTCTTAAAGGTTATCTAAAAAATCCCCTTTTTGGACCACACTGCAAAGCCAACAACCCTTGCTTCTCATTTCCAATGGCAAAGAGACCTGAAAAACGAGACTTGCCCCTTTACATCATTACAGGCACCACCAAAGTTGTCAGAGGTATCTACATTTACATTTTCACTGTTTCGTGTATAAATTTCATTTACATTGACCATTTAAGGTTTTGTTACATTTTTTTTTCCTTAAAAAATTGTGGTGTTCATATGTACCTTGACTGAATGTGCTGATATACTATAGGTTTGTAGCAAGGTGGGGTAGGTGAGCTCGATTTTGAGCTTGTACCAGCTATTTGAACGTGGGGTTTATGATTTTTCTTTTCTTTTTTTTTGTTTCTACGTTATTTGTTCTCTTAGGATTTTCATGGGAGATTAAGTGTTTGCTGTAGGTTGTTTTGAAGAACAAAATAGGGCTATTTTTGAGACGTGCATGTGGACGACACAGGGTATGTTGTTGTTGAGTTGAAGAATGAAAAATGTCCCATATCGCTGGTTAATGAAATGAGTGCTCTGCTTATAAGTCTTGGACAGTCCTCCTTCGTATCAGCTATCTTTTGTAGCGTGAGTTAGGCCCAAGAACTAATTTATGTGTATCAAATCAGAACCCATCTCACCAGATGATGGGCCCCCAAATTGAATTTGCCCACTACGGCTTAACCTAATTTTATTGTTTAAAATTGTGGCTGCATTTGTTTCTGTTGGACTATGAACAGTAACTTAGAAGAAAGATTGTTTCTTTGTTATGGGGTTTCAGCTGGGAGTTTTGAGTTTGTAAGTGGGTTCTGATGTCTGTTTTGCACCAGTGAAAAGGAAAAAGGCCATGAAATGGAAAAGAAAAGAGAATCTAATGTGCTTAAATAAATGTGCAGACATGCAGAGAACTGTTTATGCATACACATTATATGCCATTTGGAGAGGATTCAGCATCATTTTGTGGCCATTAGAGAGGCGACATTGTTGGGGTCTGGGTGGTGGTAAAGATTGTAGTTTCCTATGTACGTATCCAGCTGCTTTATGCATGCTTGCTTCTGCACTCATTCATAACTCTTAAATGAGTGTGCTGTGCTCATTTTGTAATGCCCTGTAATATTTAAGATATCCATTAGCTGCTTAATTATGTTGCTATTGGTTGGGATTTTAGAAATGAATTGTGATTTGTGAATTGCATAACTGAATTTGGTTTTTATTGCTATGACTTGTGAAGTTGGGGACTGTGTGTTGATGAGGCCATCAGAAAACGATAAGGCTCCATATGTAGCACGCGTCGAGAAAATTGAAGCTGGTAGCAACAACCACACTTATGTGCATGTTACATGGTATTACCGGCCAGAGGAGTCAATGGGAGGGCGGAGACAGTTTCATGGATCAAAGGAGTTATTCTTGTCAGACCACCATGATGTTCAAAGTGCCCACACTATAGAAGGGAAGTGCACTGTTCATACATTCAAGAACTATACTAAGCTTGAGAATGTTGGTCCAGATGATTACTACTGTCGGTTTGAGTATAAAGCGGCAACTGGAGCTTTTATGCCAGATCGTGTTGCAGTGTAAGTGTATGAGATTTCATTTGCTTGCTGATTGAACTTGAGTAATGTTCTTCCTGCTCATATTTCTTTATTTTTATTTCTGAAGGTATTGCAAATGTGAGATGCCATATAACCCAGATGATTTAATGGTACAATGCGAGCAGTGCAAGGACTGGTATACACAACATTTCATCTTTCTGATTAATTTGCAGAGTATTAGTAATGTAATTACTTGCATTGATTTCCTCTCCTCTGAAGACCGTAAAACCAAATTATAAAATAAGTAAATAAACAAGAGACAGAACATAAACGAGTAGAGATCTTCTTTCTTGTTGCCTGTGTATGACTGCTGAAAGAACCTCTCAACAGTTGGGCCAACCCTGCTCTGCCTTGGAGAGTTCTGTTGTTTACTTATTTTACTGTTTTTCAATTATTTTCTTAAAATGGACATTTCTTCTTTCTTTAGCTCTATTACAAGGAATGCTTTGTATTTCTTGCTTATTTTTCTTTAGTGCATTATGTACAATATATGAAGAGTATATCTGTATGGTGGAAGTCGCGGCTGGTCTTTGCTTTATGTTTTTTTTTGTTTGTAAAGCATTAGATATTAAGTGAAGGGCCCTAGCAATTCTTGATAAAAAAAAGTGAGGGATATTCCACCCCTAGCAACTTATCGGGAAAGAAGAATAAGAAATTGTCTTATTCCTTAGGCGTATCTATAGATTTTGAATTGGTTGTCATGCTGGGCATACATAAAAGACTTCCACATCTCAATCATCATGCCACAATCTGGGGTTAAGTTAATTTTATCTGGGAGCCGTCCAAGTTGCTTTATGAGTTCCAGATTCTTTATAATCTGTTAGAACCACTGATCTGAAGACTGTACCTTCATGAACCATCTGATTGGTTAAACCAAAAAACCAGCCAGGACTATGTTGCTTGGACTCCTCAGAAATGTCAAATAGTGCATTTTTGGGGGATCCAATACAGTGCGGCAACATTTTTGGGGAGACCAAGCAACATAGAGCCAGGATCCGATTCCAGTTTTAAAAGCATTGCATGCTTTCATTTCTTACGATTTGTTTCCTTGATCTTTGTAGGTATCATCCGGCCTGTGTGGGATTGACTAGTGAACAAACTAAACAACTAGCTGACTTTGTTTGTTCCGATTGCTCATCCTCTGTGAAGAAGTCTGTTAATACTCCAGTCCCTCTGTCCAGTGGCAAGGTACTATGTTGTTGGCTTGCTTTAGCTGTTATTGATTGACTTCTAACATTTGAAATGCTGAAGTTCGTACTTCTCCACTTTAGTGATTATGAAAACTAGTCCTCAGATTTGATTGATGACTGTGACTGCTTTATATCATGAATGAGATGGATTGATGACTGTGACTGCTTTATATACCAACTAGTCCTCAGATTTGATTGATGACTGTGACTACTTTATATACCAACATTGTTTTTCTATACTGACTTGGTATATCATGAATGAGATGGATTTCTTTGATTTGTCAAAAAACAAAAGGAAATTATGCGACATGATTTACTTTTTAGTGAATTTCACTAATCAAGCATCTGGTAGATGCATTCAGCTTATAGAAGTAGAGTAATACTCATACTGTATACTACGTTACCAATTTAAAAAAAAAAGAAGTAATACTCATACTGTATATAGTTTCTTTTTTGCATTGCGTGTATATTATTTGTTCGTTCCTTCAGCTGCTACTTACTTTTTAACTAATGCATGTTTTTTTTATTATGATGTGAACTTAAGGATCATTTGGTTAGAGGGATATATTAAGAGAAATAATCTCATCATACTATAATACATTGCTTGGCTGGAGAATTTTAAAAACACCCGCCGCGTAACTTAGCATTTGGTTGGCCCTTTATTAGAATAATCCCTGCATAACTAGTGTAGTGCTTGGTTAGTATTGTAAATTAAATAATACAAGCATTAATTTGTGCAATAATCAATATATTATTTCCTGCAGAATAGAATTTGGAAAAGAGTAGTCAATAAGTAGGTTGAGACCATGATGTCTTAGGTTCAAATTTCTAGCAGAGGCAAAATACCCGACATCTGTGTTGGTGGGAGGTAGCAGTTACCCCCCTTGAATTAGTCAAGGTGTGAGCAAGCTAGCCTGTACACCACAGTTATAAAAAAAAAAACATATATTAGGAGTAAGGGGATGAAAGTTTTCAATGAGAAAGTGCTCTCAAAGTTAGTAATCCCTAGTTAACATTTGTTGTATTATTATTCGTTGCAAAACAATTCCTATATTGTTAATCACCGCATAATGATCCCTTCATTATTATTCGCTGCATAAAGATTCGTGTATTATAATTCCCACATAACTAGTATGTGAACCAAACAACTCTTTAAAGCCTTAGCAAACCTTTGCCTTTTGCCCTTAAACAATATTTATTAGGACACAAAGATGTGAGGTTTGTTGCTCTTTTCTCCTTCAACCTGCCATTCTTGAATACTTAACTAGTGGCCATGTATGCGTGTGGTTTTTAACATTTTGACCCCTACGTCCCCATTTGTAGCATTACCTTGGATCTAACACTTGCTTTGCATAGAACCCTTACCTATGCCACCACTGGTACTCTGTTGTTGAGCAACAGCTTCCCTTTGATTATGCTGCAATTTCATTCTGATTTGACCCTCGCTTTTGTTGTTTATTATTACAATTCTGCTCAACATCTATGTCAAATTTCTCCTTCATGGCAGCATCCTCATTTTCTCTGATGTCCTTTCCTTGTCATATAGTCATGGGTTATGCTTTTTAATTTTTGAAAGTTTTAGGCAAACTTGCTAAATGCATTGGGCATATGCAAGTATGGTACATACTTGTATCATTCGCAAGTCTTTGTAACATGCTTCATCTTTTCTGCTTATAGTTACGCTCTCTCACTCTCATTGGCAGATATGCTTAATAATTCTGTGATGATTTTCCAGGTTGTGCCAAAGCGCCAGAAGAGGTAGGCGGAGCTGTGGTAAAAGATGGATGAAGCTAGTTTTCATCATGTTTGGGATGCTCATCGGGATTTTGTACAGTGCACTGAACTGGAACTAATGCCAGTTCTTTGCATATATTATCTGATGTCTGTTGTGTCCTGCTTTTGTCAGTAGTTCTTGTATGTACTAGTATTAGCAAGATGTTGACAGTCTGTTGGAATTTTAAACTGAACTAGCAAAACAGTCTTTTGGATTTTGAATGGCAAAATTAGTGTAAATTTATTGACATGTTATCTTCTACTCTGCTCCGAGTTTACACACTCTGGGTGGTATTATACACCAGCACTTACTTAATTTTAGGATGCACCACTTAGGGGTGGGCCTGGTATGGTATATACCGAATTACCATGTCATATCGAAATTTTTAGTAGCATGGTTTTGGTATTATGGTAATTGGTAGAGTATATGGTATGCATTTTAATTTATTCTTTTTGTATTTGATATGGTATTTGGTATTTAGAAATAACATATCGAAATATCGAATATCATACCGAAGTATATTTAGTTACACATAAATAACATATGTATTATTAAAATAGTAACAAATATGCCACCTAGTATTTTTACAAACTAAATGTTTAAAAGTTGAAACTTTGACCAATCTATTTTGAAATGTATTTGAATTGTAATTGATTAACAAAATGAGTTGTTTGTACTTTATTTGCATATATATTTCTACATGTGTAATGTGTTAGTATGATATAATTGAGACTTTTTTTTAATTGTCAAAGTCATAATACTCTATTATACGAGTATATATTAGTTGAAGTTAAGCAAATTATGATTACTGATTTATCAAGAATATCCCAAACTTTAATATATTGAACCATACCGAATTAAATGATATGATAATGATATAATGTTTTAAAAATTGAATTATCAAAATTTAGGGATAGAAACTTTCAAATATTGTATCATGTCTACTCCTAGTAGAACTGGTGAACACAATACATAACTAGATAAAACTTTAATGTAATATGTCTAACTTTGATGTATTGAAAAATCAGTTTCAGGAAGTGGAATCCATGCAATAAAAGCTGCTCTAGCATAATTTTGAAAAGATTAGGATACACCTAGAATACTTCTTAAATTTTTCTATAAATAGCTTCAAGGAAGTTTAAGTCATTTTGGTCAAACAAGTGTTCATTAGCATTTTTTTTACCATACACACCAACTGCAATTCATCAGTAAATCATATTCTGTGATATCACCAAGTCTTGAATGCTCAAATCATACAAACCATTCTACTTCATTTCCACACAGCAGCTGTTCTTACAGGAGATGAAAGTACCATATGACACATAATTGGGGGACAGACCCGTACAACGTTGCATTTAAGAAAATTTGAATTTTAAACAACACCTGCTGCTGTCTTGGTACAGCTTTAGATTCACAAAGATTAAAAATAATATCCAGTAGTAAATAAGATCGAAACGTCTGGAAATAATAAAACGAAAAGAGAGTTTTCGCAGCTCACTAAAACTTTTGTATAACCACTGAATTTGCGAGTCCTGCTTGCTCAATCGTTTGGGTTGGGTCACTGAGCATTTTAGGAGGAAATCCAACAGTTTGTAGTTGATATGCTCTGGTGTCACTTGGCCTTGAAGCATCAATAAAGGCACGGATGTCACCAACAGTTTGGTGGAAGTTGAAGTGTGCAACCATGCGACTTCCATCTGCCAATCTAATTTGAAGCGAGGTCGAAGGCAATGATTCATCCAGAACACTAGTGGAAGCTGCTGGGACTGTGCTTGTGGGAGCAGAAGCAGATGGCTCAGAAGTTGCTGGAGTTGCGCTGCTTCCAAGTGTTCTTCCCACTCCCTGAAACGAAACTTGGTGTTTCTCTGGTTCCTGCAAGTGTGTTGCACATGTTTAGAAACATTAAGTAATGAAGTCAATACCAGTGAAGAGATTCTGTCACAGGTTTCCAAACTTCTGTTCAGAGGACGAAAAGTGACACACATCTAGGGATAAGGGAGAGAAACAGAAGAATATCCAAATAGGTTTGTTCCCGTGTTCTTTCCCTAATCTTTCTTATATAACAGAGTACAGATCCACAAAGAAACGAACGTACTATGGCCAATGTTGTATATGTGCACTCATTAACTTGTTCCTCTTCCTTGTAATGTCCCCTTTTCATATTTGGTGCACAAAGGAGATGAAAAATGAGAAAAATGGTGGACTGAACACGCAATACTTACAGGACAGTTCTCATCCCTTCTTATGAGGTTGCAATGCACCTGGGATCTGGTATCTGCAGGAGCCAACTCTCTAGGACATTCAGACTTTGTGATACTCTGAAATGAAGAACCAGTAACCAAAAGTCATTCAAAATAGAAAATCTTTATCACCAAATACACCATGGAAAAAAACCAGTAAAAGATTTAGTAAAACAGAGTGATAATTTGAATATGAAACAGATGACCAACAAAACATGGGAGCTTAAGAGCATGATCCTCAAATGGGGAGCTTAGTCATGTGCATATGTCATGCCCCTAGACTACCGATAATAGGAGGATAATAGAAATTGTGATGATATAAGTGACAATTAACATTAGCAGGAGATGAATTTGTAAATCTGAAATATAGACCGACTACTGACTATCTAACAGGATTGACCGACCCATGATGTTTGTTCCTAATCATGAATTTTTATTTAAATGCTCACTACAGTTACCTCCAGAAAAGATGCATTTTCAGGATCATCCAGCCTTCTCAAAGAACCATCATTTACAGTGAAACCGTTTCTCCAGAAGACAATATTGTGCACGATGGACTCGGGTGGTTGAGGAGCTGATGTTGGCACTGTCTCCCCTGCAAGTGTTCTCGCAGATCCAGTAAAGCTTGTTGAGCTTGAACTAGGGACGACATTTTCCAAAGGACCTTGCGTGGCACCCACTTGCCTAGCTCGGTCAAAGATGGAGTCCACATCATTATGCTTTAAAGGATCTTGAACAAGCATTCCACTACAAGCATAATCATAGGTATATTAGTGATACAGTTATACATAATAGGTATGCTAGCCTCTCTATCTCCCCTTTAAAGTTCTATCTATCAAATCATCCAAGTGCAGAAAAGAGCTAAAAGAATAGAAGACAATTCATAGATTGAACAACTAAAATAAATTAATTGTTAGAATCACGAGAAGCGACACATTCAGCAATATCACATCTGACTAGTTCAAAATCTACCTTAGATTATTGAGATAAGAACAACATTAAAGCTGAATGATGGAAAACAGCATACAACCACAAAATATAGGTAAAGTAACCAACAAATTGACATGCATTTTTGGAAAGGTTTTTATGAATGTCTAATTATATACTTGTCAATTGTCATATACCCAGTGAAATCCCATAGGGTCTGGGGAGGGTGGGTGTACGGAGACCTTACCCCTACCTTTCGCCACCATCTTCTTTTTCTATAATAATTTCTTAGCACCCCAACAGATCAAGCACTCCTTTTAGCCACAACAATGACAACAACACCTAAATCTCAAGCTAGTTGACATCGGCGATAAGAATCATCAATATCCATTTTTTTCCATTTGAGCCTGAAGATTTATCCCCCCCCCCCCCCCCCCCCCCCCCAAAAA